GCTCTAAGTAGTCCCAAAACAGAAGTCAGAATACTCCTTGACACCCCACCCCTCCTCACTTTCCACCTCATGACTACATTCAGATTCATTCTCTACTGACATCACTCAGCAACATTTCCTCCTTTGAGGACATCTAAATCTATATAGCTAAGTAGATATCTAAATTTATCAAAATTTTTTCTATATTTATAACCCAAACCAGATTCTGGTGGCCAATATCTAATGTTCTTTCTCCTTTCTCAGTGAGTTCAATGCCTGGCTCACAGTCTACCTCTTCACCCTAATTCCTGCCCTCATGCCCAGTGACTTCAATACACATGTTGATCTTCCCTCAGACAACCTCATCTCCCAGTTCTTCCATCACTTCAACTCCCCTGACATACTTCTCCACTCTACCTCAGAAACACATAGGAATGGTCACATTCTTGTCCCTGTCATCACCCACAAGGGTTCCATTTCTTTCATCAAGAACTCCAAATTTCTTTTATCTGATCATACTCTTTTATCATTCCATCTCTACCTATGCCTCACTACTTCTAAACTTACTTTTTATCCTCATTGTTACCATCCACTCCTCTGTTCTTTTCAAGCTATAATCCCTGTTCTGTCTACATTCTTCTCTTAGTGAACTAGGTCAACTCTACACCATCTACTATTCCTGAATCCTTCCATCCCTTGCTTTATTGATATGCACATCTTGCTAAACCTCCACCTTGGATCATTTCTATCCCCTTCTTTCTCCATTCCTATTCATGTGCACCTGGAAGAAGTTACATAAATGTGCTGCCTGGGTCTACTAGAAATTCATCTAAGACCAATTTGTCCCAACTGCAATCCTTTTATTCTGCCCTAATTGAGTCTCTATTGCATTTGCCATAGCGGTTGTTTCATATTTTCTCTCCCCAAACTCCCAAAGTATTACCTCCTCAGCTAGGGACCTTGACTCATATTTTACCACCACCACCCCAAAAAAGAAAGAAATAAAGAAAAGTGAAAAATCAAGTTCATTTGCAGTCATCTCTTCCCCTCTTCCCCTCATCTCACACATTCCTGACTTTATTGCCCCCCCCATTTCCTTATTCCAATCTATGATAAGGATGTGGCTTTCCTTACCAAGGTCAACTCCTTTATGTGCACATTTTATCCCATTCATTCCCATTTTCTCCAACAGACCTTCCCATTATTTTCACCACTTTCCACTCTACAACTTCTCCTTATATACTGACTCCTTCACTAATTCCCACAGACCACACAAGTATCTCACATCCAAAAAAAAAAATTCCCTAGATTTTGCCATCTCCATTAGCAGTAGTTCTATATCTCTCCTCTCTTTCTAATCCTTTCTTTTTTTTTTTTTTTTGGCTAGGCAATGGCATTAAGCGACTCGCCCAGGGTCACACAGCTAGTAACTGTTATGTGTCTGAAGCCAGATTTGAACTCAGGTCCTCCTGAATTCAGGGCTGGTGCTCTATCCACTGCACCACCTAGCTGCCCCTTCTCTTTCTCATCCTTAAGAGAGCTGTCTGTACTCATTTCCTCCATTTCCTTTTCCTCTCACTGTCTTCATATTCTTCTGCAATCTAACTTCTGACCTCCTCATTCAACTGAAACTCTCCAAAGTTACCAATGATCTCTCATTTACTAATCTTCACCCTACTTGCCCTCTCCCTAGCATTTGATATTGTCAATTATTTTTACATCCTAAAACCTAGATACTCTATCCTCTAGAGTTTTCTCTAGATTTTCTAGCATGAAACTGCTTTTTCATGGTTTTCTTCTCATGTCCCACTGTTCATTCTCTCTCTCTCTCTTCTATATTTCACTCACTAACCATAGGTGTTCTCCAAAGCTCTTCTTTCTTTTCCTCTCACTCTCTTCCCATTATTCTGAAATTTAACTTCTGACCTCATTACTCAAATGAATCCGTCCAAAGTTACCAATGATTACTTACTTACCAATCTTCACCCTTCTTGTCCTCTCTCCAGCATTTCCCATTGAATGTCCTAAAAGCATCTTAAACACAACATATACAAAACAAATATACAAAACAAATCTCTCTCTCTCTCTCTCTCTCTCTCTCTCTCTCTCTCTCTCTCTCTCTCTCTCTCTCTCTCTCTCTCTCTCTCTCTCTCCAATCAACCAGGCCCTCAAACTTCATGACATTTTTGACTCTGAACTTTTCCTAACTGTTTATATCTATTCAGTAGCCTATTTCTTATTATATCTCCACAACTTCTATACCCTCTCTTTTCTCTCATATATTCAATATTCTAGTTCAGGTTTTCATCATGTCTTATCTGGACTACTTCAATGGCTTCCTGATTGGTCTCCCTGCCCCAGGTGTCTTCCTACTCCAATCTATCCTCCACATAGCTGCCAAAGACATTCTTCTAAAGGGAAAGTCTGACTATGTTACTCTGCTACTCAATAAATTTCACTGGCTTCCTCTTACCTCGGTGATCAAATATAAACTCTTCTGTTTGGCATTTAATGTCCTTTATTATCTGGCTATTTCCTGTATTTCCAGTCCATTTACATGTTACTCCCCTCCATATTCTCTATGGATCAGCCACATTCACCTACTTGCTGTTCCTCATACAATACGATCTCCCATTTCTGTGACTTCACACCGGCTGGTTCCTATTCTTGCAGCCCTCCTACCATACTTATACCTCCTGGAATTCCTGGGTTTCTTCACAAGTCCTCCCAATCATACATTTTACATGAGGCCTTTCCAATTCATCCTAGTTGATAACACCTTACACTACAAAAATTACCTCACATTTGATTTCTGTCTTGCATATATACCTATATAAGTAAATACTGTCTCCAGTACTAGAATGTAAACTTCTCCAGAACAACTGCTTGATTTTTGACTTTGTATCCACAGCACTTCCTGTAAGCATGTAACAAAATTTTTTGATTTTGCTAATTGATCGTTTGAAATTCCTTAATTCCAATGTATTTTTTGTTTGCCTTTTGGTGCACAGTGGATGACTAGACACATTTGCTAGAACACAATTTCATTTTCAAAAGAACCACAAATAGAAGACAACAATGTTTTCTCTAATCTTTCCTTCCTTCCTTTCTTTTCCTTTCCTTCCTTCCTTCTTCCTTTCCCTCTTTTCTCCTTTCCTTCCTTCCTCTTCCTTTTTTTCCTTCCTTCCTTCTATTTAACTCACTTTTCTTTTTTATAAATTTATGTTTACCTCCACACTTCACTGATCTTTCCCATGACATACACGTGTAAACTGAATGCCTTTTCAAGATGAAAAAGCAATCACTAGCTTTCCCAAAATCACCGCCCCCCCCCCAGCCTTTAAGGAAATAAAGCTGGCCAATGTTTGGCTGACTAATGCTTCCAGTAAAGATAAATCAACATATCATTACAGGAGAATAGATCTACTCTCAGTGCCTGGGTTCAAATCTCAGTTCTGCAGCTTATTACATGGTTAACTCTGGGTAACAACCTCCCTGAGCCTGTTTTCTCATCTATAAAATGGAGGGCTACATAATCTTGAAGGAATTGATACCTTCACAGGTCTAAATGAATGATCATAAATGTGGGCCCAAGTATAAATGTTCAAATTAGAAAAACTAATGATGTGTTTATTATCAAGATCCTTGCTTATCAATTCCTTTTGATGTCCATTTTTTGCCATTTTGAAAACAAGCAAACCTGTATAAACCAGAATGATCAAGGGGGTAATAGGAGGGGTGAATTCCAAATCAAATGATAGTTCACTTTTTTAAGTTTCTGCAAAGTATGTTGTATACATAATCTTATTTTATCCTCACAACAATACACTAAGGTAGATATTATCTCCATTGTAGATGAGGAAATGGAAACTTAGAAAGATTACATAATCAGTTCAATATCATTATTTTTGGTGTATGTCATTTCGTAAAGTGTATTTTTAATATCCTTAGGTTTGGAGGAAACAGATATCAGATATTGCCACCATTTCTACACCCATACTACTATGGATAATTAATCACATTATTTGAAGCATTTTGAGTGAAATTACTTTGGCTGCTTCTGCCTGGACCTCCTCTTTTAAGACACCTCCCTTTGCCTCAAACCACCAAACTGTATTCATCCTACAGGCACCAGTCAGGCTAAAACCGTCAGTAAGCATCCAACATTTTGCAGGAAAAAGCTCAGAAACATTTATTAGTTTTATACTAAGTTGTACTGATTCCTGGCGGGAACAGTACCGTCCCTGCTGTCATTCTCAAGTGTCTGGAATGAGCAGCTGGGTGTCAGACAACAAGCGTTGCCGTGTGTGTGTGTGTGTGTGTGCCTGCGTGTTCGGGTGGGGAGGTGTGCACTGGAAGGAGTGGGCGGTTGGGCTGAGCAGCGCACCATAGGTGAAGCTCGAGGGGAGGACGCGAGGTCGCATATCCTCCCCGCCTCTCCCCAATTGGGGCTGAGACTCCTAGTGTTCCGATTGCGCCTCCAGGTCACGGACTCCTCTACTCTTTGCACAGTTCCTTCCCCACCGCCCACTTCAGTGCCAGGATGCACCTCGGGAGGAGCTCCCGGAGGCAGCAGCGGGCCAGGACCATGCCTCTGGAGTGATTGCCGACTGCTCCAGCTCCGGCCCCTACCCCCGCCCCCTCGGGTCCTCCTTACAGGCTGAGGCTCGCCTGGCCTCCAAGCGCACAGTGCCCAGAGGCTGCCGCGGGGGCTGGATGCGGGCCGTCCCTGAGCTTGCGGCAAGACGCCCGAGTCCCACCCGCGGCGGAGGCGGAGGCGGAGGCGGAGCCGGGGCAGCCGGGCAGAGCCAGTCCGAGAGAGGCGGACGCAGAGCTGCGCGGGCCGGGCCGCCGCGGGCCACCCTGGCTATCTCTCCTTCCCACCCCGGCCCCAGGAGACACCTCTCGAGCGGGGGCCCCGGCCACTGACGCTGCCGGTGCTTGCGGCCGAAAAGGCGGCTAGCTCGGCGCTGCCCAGCCCCGGAGGGACCCGGAAGCAGAAGCTGAGCCTGAACAGCCGGAGCCGAGCAGTGGCCTCTAGCTGCCCGCCGGGGCTGGGTGCGGGGTAGGACGGCTGGATGGGCAGCGGCGGCGCCCGCAGTTGGAGGCGATGGGCGAGGAGCAGAGCACGGTGAATGCAGACGGTACGGACGAGGGGCGGCCCCCGGGAGGCGGTGAAGACGTAGTCGAGGAACCGATGGAGCCGCGGCGGCCGCAGGGGAAGGGCAGCGGGGCAGCAGGGCCCCGAACCCCCTCCCCGGACCCGGGCGGCGGCGGCGGCGACGGCGAGCGGGGACGGGTCTTTCCCCGAGCTTGGCAAGAGGTGTAGGAAAGCGCGCGGGCAGCCCGTAGCAGCGAGATCCACGGAGCCACTAGATCCCCGAACTTTGCAGCCGCAAGAGGAAGAGCAGGCGAGAGGAGAATGGGATGGGTCTTCCGAGCCCGAGCTCAGGGAGAGGGCCAGCCCCCACGAAGGACTGGTCTTGGAAATGCTTGGCCGGCGCCGCCATCCTCCAGCCAAGAGACACATCTACTGCACCGTGTACTGCGTGGAAAACGACCTGTCCGAGGCCCCGACCCAGGAGCAGCCTTCGTTCCCAAACTCTCTGGCCTCCCCGGTGCCTCTTGCAGTCCCTTCCTCCACCACCTCCTCCACCAGCTCAGCGACCTCCTCCCCTAGTCCCGACTTGTCTCCTCCCTCGGACCCTCTGGCCTTAGACGGCGGCGGGGGCGGGCAGCAGAGTCGAGCTCGACTTATACCTAGCTCCTGAACCTTTTTCGGTGTCCAGCCTGATCGGAGCGCCACCCTACCCCGGCCTGGGAGGACTGGGGGACCCCTATAGTCCCCTCCTTGTATTAAGCTGTCGGGTGTGTCTCGAAGATAAAGCTATCAAGCCCCTGACATGCTGTAAGAAGGCCGTGTGTGAGGAGTGTCTGAAGCGATACCTGAGCTCCCAGGTAACCCAGTCAAATCCCCGCCCCACTCCCCTCCCCGTCCCCCCCCGCTCCTGCCTTTCTTTCCCCCAGATGATGGAAGAGATACTCTCTCTCTCTCTCTCTCTCTCTCTCTCTCTCTCTCTCTCTCTCTCTCTCTCTCTCTCTCTCTCTCTCTCTCTCTCTCTCTCTCCCCCCCTACACTCTCCCTCTCCCTTTCCCTTTCTCTCTCCCTCTTCTTCCCCTTTTCCCTTTCTCTCTTTCCTTCTCTCCCTTTATCCCTCTCCCTTTTCCCTCTTCTCCTCATTCTCTCTCCCTCTCCTTCCTCTCTTCCTCTTCTCTTTCTCTCTCTCCCTCTCTCTTCCCCTACCCCTTTCTCAGCCTCTCCCGCTGTCCCCCTCTCTCCCTGTTCTCCTCTTCTACTCCGAAGGAAGAGATGATGATAAGGCAATCTTTCTATGTGACGCCTGTCCAGTTCTCATATCTTAGCTCCTTAATGTGTTTTGGCTTTGCCTTTCTGAAAGCTTGGCTGTTAATTGACTTTAACCTACACTTCAGACAGTGGTGGCAATCTAAGCAGCAAGAGTGAATGGAATGGGCTCTCAGTTTCTTTAAAGGGACGGACACTAATCTTTCAGGTCAATGATATCTAGTCATAATTGACCACATTTCATTTAGCCCCATTTATAACTTACTGACCAGTTACATTTTGTCCCCATTTAGAAATATGTACTCAGTTCTTTGCCCACTGCTTCATTTTTCTTTTCTATTTTTTTTCAGAGTAAAGTGACCACAGTGTTTTCACTAAAGGTAAATTCAAATAGAGCATTTTTTTCTTTATTTAAAAAAAATGCCCCCAAGCAAAACCCTTAAGAATCATACCAAAGGCGCCTTGGAAAAACTTGCCACACAGTGTGTTCTGCTTTTTAGGTTTTATGTTAAAAAGTTTAAAGTTTCATGCAAACTAATAACTAACTTTTATTCATAATAATTAATATATTTTCTTGCAATTAAAATTTGCAAATCCTTTGCAAAGACAAGTTTACGCATTCACATGCAGTTACTTCTATATAAAATGTGGAAACACTTTTATGGTCACATGGCAACATTACAAACATACTGTGTCCAATTGAACACACAGAGGAAATTTTAGGTAGGCAGAATGGAATGTTAGCCAAATAATAATTTGGCCAGCACTTGAGGTTAACCAAACTGGTACAAAAGATTTTGATTTCCCTTTATGCTTTATCCAGAAATAGGTGCCCTTAGCAGTACTAATGTCTGCTTGTTATGTTTGTGAGGTTTTGTTAACTGGTTTAGAATTCAATTGTAGGTAAAGAGTATAACAATCAGTGTTGATCACTTATAATTTCACTAGTAGTAATGTGTGGAAGTGTCATAGCATTATGGGTGCTTATCATGCAAAAATAATTGAATATAGTCTTGAATTATAAATTCCATAAAAATGGAATTTAAAATCACAAATGTAGCTTCAAATATTCATTGAAGATAAAAATGAACTTATCTCTTATTATCTCTTTTGATAATAGGAATTAAAGCATACTAATATGTGTACTTTCTATCTTTAATAAAATAAATTGAGATTAAGAAATCTAATAGTATTTTTCAGATATTCTTTACCAGTCATTTTCATTTTACAAAACTGGCATTTCTTATACATTTGTAATATGTAAAAATTAGATGATGGGAGCATAAATGAAAAGTTGGATGGATCTCAAAGCCCATGTAGTCTGACTGGCTCATTTTACAGATGAGAAACTGAAGACCAACAGGTTAATTGACTTGGAAAAAGACACAGGTAGTAAAAGTAATGGTGGGATTTAAACTTAGGCACTGACTCCACCAGAGTCAATATACTTTAAAGTACATTCTGATGTTACTATTAAGTGAGGTCTCTTTGAGCAACTCAAAATTCTAGGATTATATATTGATGTTGCTGGAAATTCAGAACTGGTTCAAACAAAGGTATTTGGTTTACTTGTCCTTGCCCCTCTAGGGATGGTTTTTTGTTTGTTTTTTTAGCTTAGTGATAGAGCAAGTCATCTAGAACATTAACAGTTGTTTTTGGAAAACAAAAATTCTCTTCTATTTTCCATCACAGTATGATAGCACTGAGCAATGTTATAGCTAAAGCAGCTCTCAGTTGACTTGAAGTATTGACAACACTCAGACACCAATCTCTTGCTATAGTTTGGTGTGTGTGTTCATTATCTATATCCTGCCCATTTTTTTCAGTGCTTAGAACTCTCAATTCCACAAGTATTTATTAAACAAGACCGTACACAGGACCAGCCACTGGAGGACATACTAAGTCTAGTACCTACTTTCATGAAATTTACAACTTGTGCATCTTTTTGAGGCCTTATATTGCATGTGAGCTTCTGAAATTTAGCAAGATTATAGCCTGAATTTGTAGGCCTTTAGTAGTCTATAAAATGAATATAAAAGACTTCAAGTTAGTCATCATCAGTCATTTTGCTCTTCATTTCCTTTGTAAATTTCTTTTGGACCAGATATCCAATATGTTATTTGAGAGATTTTAATAGAAAGAAAAGATTACAGAATACCTGTTAAATATTTTACACAAACTTTAAAAATACATATTAAATGTTGATTGGAGTATTGCCTGGTTAGATTAATGCCTTCCTTCTTGGGGGAGATATGAAAATCTTTGAAAGGAGACCTACAAATCCAAAAGAAATGGGGTTGGGTTTTTTGGGGATGTTGGCTTTACCTCCATTGGTGCCAAAGGCTCATTCTGTGGTGAGTGACTGGAGGCTGGCTGTTATCAACCTTTCAACTCTTCATAATGGCAGTTTAGGCCATGACTTTATGATATAAAATGTAGTAGAAAATTTTTATTTTTCAAAACACAATTGTTAATGTCTTAGGTAACTTTGTGTAGCACAGTGAGAGAATACAAATAGAGACTTTAGAGAGAAATTGCTTGGCAGAATAATTGGAATCAGCCAATTCTTGAATTGTATTTTGAAAGGGTTAACTGAGGAGATCATAAGTCAGTTGTGTGTATTTTAGTAGATATTACATTGTGAACCAAGGAACCTAACTCAGCATAGGACTGTCATGCTGAAAGCTAAAATAGTTTAAATGTACTTTATTTATGTGGATGATTAATGATGATGCCTTTATCCATCCAGTGATCTATATATGGTTGGTTGGAAATGGCATTAGTAAAGAGGGCCTTGTATGTCCAAGATCCTTTTGTGATTTTACTTTTAAGGAAAGAATTCTCCAACTTCAATGATTTTTATTAGATCTTAAGTAAAAATTATCTAGGAAGAAAAACTTCATTATTTACACACTCATTATAGCTAGCTAGCTTGTTCAGATTTCAAAAATTTTCTCCCCATCTTTTTGCATTGCCAGTATCTCATTATGGTTTGGTCATGACCTTGGGTTCTCCAAGTTTATGACAACAAAGCTCAAGTTCTGACAAATCCAACCAAGCCATAAAGGCTCTTGTAGTGTGGGCCTGACTATTATCTGCCATCTAAGTTCAGAGACGCTTGTAACCAGAAGTTTGGACATAAAGGGATTAATTTCATGTTTTTGTCACAGGAACTCATGAAAACAACCTCCTTTTGTGGGGAGGGAATGTCCACGTTGAAGGAATAAGAAACCTTTTAGTTATGGTAATTGAAAAAAAGTCTACATGAAGAAATATGGCTTCAGAAGATGTACCAAATCACTCTCCATGATTAGGGACTTAGGGAAATTCTGTGGTACAGTTTAAAGTTTGAACTTTTAAGACATTTGGGTAAAGAAGGAAGAGAATTAGAAATGCTGACGCTTTTAAAAGCTTGTCTACTAGCTGCTAGTGTATCTTTTACATCTCAGGTGAGGATTCCCCTAGATTGGCAGATGTCTATGAATTATAACTTCTAAACCTGTGTAGTAAGTACAAGAGATACCCAGCACATTTCTTATACAGATTGTGAACAAAAACAGCTGCTGAATAGTGCTTTCTAAAAATGACTACTGGGGGGATACCCTAGAATTGATAATCTAGAGGTGAAAGATTGGGTATCCCTAGGTCATCCAGTGCCACTTAGACAAAAATGTAATTTAAAATATATTTTCTTTTAAGCCTTGTGGCAGCAAGAATATTTATAGATACTATACTACTATGTCAGTATTTATATATTATTTATAGATATTGTACTACTCTACTACTGCACTATGCTAAAGTCAGTATAGACTTTAAAAGCTATCTCATTCACGCATATCATACTCAAGTTATTTCATATACCCTATACTATGTCTGGCTTTGATATCCCTAAAATCATGAAAAATAGAACATAACTGGCATCAATTTTGAAGTGATGACCTTTCACCCTTTGAAAATGGAAAATTAGTGCATGCACGGTCATAATTGAGTTTTTGAGGTATTTTGTACCAGTTTTCAAGTTGTATCTTATATGCTCTCTTTTCTCTTTTACATTCATATTTATTCTTTTTTACTCACTACCTACTGACCTTATCCTCTTTCTCATCCTTTCCTTCTTTTCTCCTCTTTTTTTTTCCTTCTGTGAACTTAATAGCCTTAACTTGGTTGGAGTAGAGAGTGATTTTGATTTTTCCAAAGTGTGTTCCTATTCTCTGCTGAAACTTTTATCCTAGATAAGCAAATATTACCAGGAGAGCCTACGCATGTTTCTACTGTCCCATCAGCTATTTGGAGTTGTAAATTGACCTAGACAGGAGTTCTGAACCTTTATATGTGTCATACATGAATCTTGGGTAGCACAGTGGATAGAGTGATTCAGAAAGTGTTCAAATCCAGCCTCAGATCTAACTCTGTGATCCTGGGCAAGTCATGTAACCACTATCTGCCTCAGTTTATTCATCTCTAAAATGGGAATAATAATAGCATCTATGACATCCCAGGGTTGTTGTGAAGTTAAATGAGATGATATTTCTAAAGCACTTTGCAAACCTTAAAGCACTGTTTATAAATAAATCCCTATTTCTAATGGGCACCC